GCGTCGGCAGCGGGGCGCAGCAGCGGCTTGGCCTCCCGCATCCTCGTCGTCTTGCAAATCAGAAACTGATTGCGAATTTGGCTTTCCCATGGATCACTGGACGTTTGTATGCACATACTAGACGGCAGTCGTTTGATCGATCGCGCTCCTCGATACAGGAGGAGGAAAGGCCACTGGCGACTTCAACTCGCGCAAGATGGCTGATCGAGGTACTCGGCCCGGGAGGAGCGGTACTGAGCAGCAGCTCGTACTGTGTACCTGGCCCGACTCAGACGCAGCGACCAGCGTCGCCGCCGCCAAGCCAAGCGCGCGTACTCTTGTAATGTCCGGCGACAAACCGCTTGGGTCGATTGCGCAACTGGCCGCAACTGCCATCACCCGCGCTCTACCACCTGCTTCGCACCGGCGGCATCTGGGGGCGCTGCAAGGCCAGGCGCCGCGACCGTATTTCTCGAATGCGTCTCGATTTCCGCTGTTCTACTGCAAGGAATCTTTACTTGCTGTGTATCGACATTCTTGCAGGCGCCCCCATCTTGCGAGCCTGTCCTTGGCGCGATTCTATCGTGGTGGGAAGAACGGCGAGTGGTTGTTATATAAAGCAATGTGAATTGAGGAGTGTGCTACTGCTGCTGCTGAGATTAGACCATGGCCTGGCCACCGCGCTCTTCGACGAGGAGCTTCCAGAACTCGTGCGTCTCGGCGACGACCGACTCGGCAAAGTCGCGGTTCATGCACTTGCCGTCGTACGCAAACTGGTTGATGCTCGGCATCTTGTAGTCGCGGAGCCAGTCGTGGATCGCGGCGATGCAGCCCGGCATGTGCGCCTCAATATCCGCCACGTCGTGGATCTTGGAGGCGTAGTGGTCCTCCACGTTGATGCAAATGACCTTCCAGTCCGTCTCGTTGTCGTCAATGAGCGCGAGCACACCGAGGACCTTGACCTGCACGATGGAGCCGACGTTCCACTTCTTGGTACCGATCTCAATGACGTCGAGCGGATCGTTGTCGCCGCCGCAGCCCGTGCCTTCCGTGATGTGGTTCGGGTCTTCCCACGTCTGCGGGAGGGCGCCGTAGTTGAACATCATGTCGCCCCAGCCGTACTCGCGCAGCTTGCCGTTCTTCGTGTCCTGCTTGATCGGGTTGAAGGGCTCGCCCGTCGCGATCTCAAACTTCTTGCGGCTCCACTTGGGGATCTCGCACACGAAGTTGACGCTGCCGTCCGCGTTGTAGAGCGGAATGTCGTGCCACGGCGAGATGCGGACCTTGGAGCCGTCGCGGTGGTGGTACACAAAGTTGACGCGGAACTCGAACGACGGGCACGGACCCGTCATCTCGGTCTCAATGTTGCCGATCGCCGGGTTGGCGATGCGGGCCTTGAGGAACTTGAACTTGGCCTGGTAGCTAAGGGCAAACGGCCATGTGAGACACAAGTGCAATCTCAAAGAGCAATCTCGTACCGCTGCATCGCCTCGCTCGGGTTCTCGTTCTTGTGGTCTTCGTTCCACCACTTCATGAACGACACAAAGTTGACGTTGCCCTCGACCGGGTTCATGTACGCAAGCGCCTCCTGGGCCTCAATGTCTGTGATGGGCTCACCGAGGCGCGCATGGAGCTTCTGCAAGTCGGACGCGTTGATGCTGCCGTTGCTGTTCGAGTCGAAGAGCGAGAAGATCTGCTTCATGCGCTCCATCTCGCGCGGCTCGAGCGCGATCGGCGTGCCGTCCTCCAACACACTGCCACGGCGCTGGCGACCGCCACGCGCGCGCACGTCCGAGACGGTCTTGTCCGTCTTCTCGTACACGGCGAGCTCCGAGCGGAGCGTCGAGACCTGCGAGCGGAGGTCTTCGAGCTCGGTGAGGAGGATCGGGAGGTCGGCGTCTTCGCCGCGCCACGAGTCGGCGCGGAGCGTGCGGAACGACCCCGCGGCGCGGGGCGAGCCCGTCGGCGACGCCGCGCCGTTGCGCGCATACGGCGCAAGCTCGCCGTCAGCGACTTCGGGCGCATTGTCGAGCTGCGCCTGCATCGACGTCATCCACTTGTTGCGCTCGTCGTCCGAGTCGCAGTAGACGCGGAAGCACTTGTTCGTGGGCGTGTAAAACTAGGCATATGCATGAGCCTTGGATACCATGGTATCACGTGTCTACCTGGAAGCCATGCGGCTTGCCGTCCCAGTCGTGCACCGAGCAGTACGGGATCTTGCCCTTGAGCGAGCCCTCGGCGGCCGCCTCTTCCGACTCGTAGTAGAAGATCGCGAGCGCGCTCTCCTGCAGGACGCAGTAGCGGCGCTTCCAGATGAGCGAGCTCTTCTCGGCCTGGTTGTAGAGGTAGCCGGCGACGGGCACCGAGACTGCGGCCTTCTGCACGAACGCGTCGAACGAAGCTTGGCTCATGATCTTCTCGTCTTGACTGGTTCGGAGCAAATTGGCGAATGCGTCGGCGTTTCAAGGGAAACCCTGCGCCGGATACCCCGTCGGTTTCCGGATATTGTCTACGGAAATAGTGTATCACCACATCGTGCGGCCAAGATGCCGCCTTGCATGGCGTCGGATGGACGGCCGGCGTCGTGACGCCATGCCGTGCACGTCATGGTGTCTGCACACGAATACTTGGTATCGCGTCGATGAAAAGTGGACGAGTTGTCTTCAAATGCGTGGACACCTCACTCTTGACGTCAAAATCAACCACTTCAAGGTCGGAACGTCGCGATGCCCTGCGCCAACGAGGACATCCGCGCTTCAACCAAGAGACGCTGCTCATATACGGGTCGCGCAGTCTTTCTACGCGCTCGTTGGACGACTTTCCGCGAGGCATGAGAGCCTAAGCAGGTTGTGAATCGCCACCTGCGTGGCGTCGTACACTATTTGCGTCGCGATCGAAGCGTGTGTCACACTGAAATGCGAAAGGAGCGACGCCCTAATTCGTCCTAATTTCAACGTGGGGCTCGTAGAAGCGGGGCTAGTAATGCGCACGTCGACAAGCGCCGGCCACGCCCTCCAGATTGTCCGTCGGAAACGTCCTTGGGCTCGTTCGCGCCAGGTGATGCGAGGAATTCTAGCTTCGAATCCCACTTTGCATATCACCGCTCCTGGATTCCTTCTTCAGGAAGGAGATCGGGGGCAAGCAGCAACAAGTAGTTACGCTGAGGCAAACCGTTGCAAGGCGACGGCGCCTAATAGAAGACCGACGCGAGCTCATGTGCAATGGAATGTGTCACGCGTTGCGTCGGCCCCATGGAACGAGGAGTTATCCTTGTCATTGACGGTGAGACTAGGATGCCCGGCCTGTTTTTAGCGAATTCGCGCCATTTGTCCGGATGTTGAAGATTCACCCGCCACGACGATCGCCAAAAGGATGCTGCAAGCGACGCATTCAAAGACAAGCTCGTGCAGCTCATGTGAGCGGCTATATTTCTCTTGGTTTAGACCAGCGTCGGCGGCGCAGGCAGCGATCCACGGGTACCTAGTCGGCGCGTCGTCGTGAGCTATCCGGATGATTGGCGTGAAATTGTCACGATCTGCGACAATCCCTGGCGCCAAATTTCCAAAGCGACTTGCTCCGAGCAGGGCCTCTCTCACGCAGCGCACGTATGAACATCTTGCTACATCCGTGTTGAAGGAGCTTACGTCTCACCGTCCCAAACAAAACCGATCGCATCGAGGGCAGCGATGCGCTCCGGAGTCAAGGTGCCCGAGAGTTTGCCTTGACGGAAGTACCAGGTCGCGGCCCCGAGATTGATACCTGCGAGATCTGTCGGCCACGCGTCGTCCGACGGCACGGTGAATGTGCTGGAGATGTTGAGGTGCCCATACATCGCTCTATAGCAAGTAAATCCGCGCAGTTTGGTCTCGAACGACTCTTTGTTGGCGTCCCAGACGAACCCCAACGCGTTCAGCTGCGTCCGGCGCTCGGAATGGATCACGGCGTCGCCCGACCGAATGTAGTTGACGACGGACCCGAGCTTGTAGTTCCAGAGGCGCCGCGGCCACGCTGGGTCGTTCGCTGGCACCACAAAGATGAACGGGACCAGCGTGTGGCCATACAGCGCCCGGAAGATCGTCAAGGCTTCGATGCGAAGCTCCCACTTGGCCGCGAACGCGTCCCACGCAAAGCCCAGCTCGGCCAGCTGGGCGCGGCGCGCCGGGGGACACTTGGCATCGCCTTCTGCGCGCAGCTTGGTCACCATCGTACCGAGTCGGGCGCCCCACATCTCGATGGGCCACGCCGGGTCGTCAGACGGCACGACGAAGTCTTGGCGCACGAGGACGTGCTCGTAGATGTGTTTGTGGACGCGGAGTGCTGAGATGAAGAGCGCCCAGCGGTGCTCGAGTGGGCGCCACAGAAAGCCGGCGTTCGTCAGGGCCTCTACAAACGAGGTCGGCAGGCTACCTTTGTTGCCGAGCGTCCGGAGGCCAGTGATGTGGATGGTCTTGCCATGGAGGCGCTCGGGCAGGCTCGGGTCCGGCGGCACCGTGTACCGCCCCGGTAAGAGCGTGACGCCGGTCGCGGCCTGTTGCCGGTCGCGCTCAAATTGTACGACGAGCAATATGTCGTCGAGCGCCCGCAGCGATATGCTGCCGCTGCTACTTGCATGGCGGTGGCGCGCGCCGGCGACCTGCAATCCGAGCCAGCCACGGCGCAGCATGACGATTGAAACCCATCCACCGGATAATATGCCTCTCGTATCCGGAACGTCCATCAAACAGCGTTTTCGACAGAGTGTAAACAGAGTCTCACGGCCAGAATAAGATCTGAAACGAGCAACGTGCTCGGAAGTTCCGAGCACCAAACAACGCTGCCACGTCGGCATAGACTCGACGTGTGCTCTGTACAATGACTGTAATATTCGGAAGGCTGCATGGAGGTCATTGCATGGAGGTGGGGCACGTGGCGAGCAGCACTTTAACGACGAGGTCGACCGTCTCGGTGGCCACGACCGAGGGGTGCGTCGCATGAATAAAGTGGCCGGCGCCCGGCACAACAGTTGGTCCTCGCCGCCGCTCAGCGTTGGTGATCTCGACGAGGCCTTTGTTGTACGCGTGCCAGAACGGATGCGTGAAGAGCTCGACGATCTCGGGCGCCACCTCGGGCATCGCAATCGACTCTAGCACAAATACCACCGGGTCGTGCTCGAGCACTGTCACATACGGCCCGATAATTGGCGTCGCTAGCAGCTTGGGCGCGTTCGCGTGTGGGAGGAGCTCCTTGAGGTTCTTGCGCGAGAAGCCCTCGGCGTTGCCCACGTCCGGGTGGAAGCGCGCGTTGAGGGCCGCGCGGGCGCGTCGGAGCATCTCTGGCGTCACGTGCATCTCGTCTGGAATCGACTCCTTGTCCGGGTCGGGAATGATGAGGCCGTAATGCGAGTTGGCAATGATCGAGTCGGCCAGCAATAATGCGTGCACGCGCCGAGGGTACACCTGCGCGTACAGGCGCGCGACGGCGCACCCGATCGAGTTGGCGACAAACACAAGGGGTGGCAGCTGGCCCCCAGGCAAGGCCAAGAGCTGCGCGACGACATACAAGAGCTCGTTCAAGTCGGCAACGACGTCCAAGGCGTCGTGGCCGTGGCTCGGGTCCGGCGCCGCAGCATCTGCTGGGTCCTTGTCCGTCGAACGTCCTTGCCCGTATCGGTCGTACGACATCAGCAGTACCTGAGATGCCACTGGCAGCGCACGCTGCTCCAGGAGCGCAGGGATTGCGTCGGCCACTGGGAACCACGAGTCCTGGGGCAGGCCGAGGCCGTTAAGGAAGACGACGAGGACGCTGGAAAGCGGCGCGGCCAAGTCGACGTCGGCGGCGGCGAGGTCCGGCGACTCCCAGCGCCGCGTGTGCACCGAGAGCATCGCGGTCGGCTTGGACGGCAGCGCGATGCCATGCTCCTCCATATTTGCGATCTTCGGTTATCCGATATCATAGGTACTATTAAGTTTCAAGGGGTTTTGCTCTTCAACTTGGTTCTTACACTCCGCCGCGAAGCGTCGTCGCATCGTCGACGTCGAGCCAGCGATCACTCGCGTCGGTCTCGATCGACGGTAGCTGCACGGTCGTTTGCGGCCGCTTGGCTCGCTCGACAATCGCCTCGCACAGCAGGAGTACGATGGCTTGGTGGTCTTCCTCGATCGCCGCCGCGAGCGGTCCTGCCTATTCCAGGCATAAGCTCTGTGCTCGCTCAGCGCCGCCATTCGTACCTGCGACCGATCAATGTACGCGCCGGCAGCGAGAAGCCTGCGCACAATCCCCATGTGGCCAGATCTCACGGCTGCATGCAGCACCGACTGGCCTGTCTACGAGATTAAGACGCGTTGGTGGAGAGGCACTGGCGATGAGAGGTGTACCGAGGTGCATTTAAGGATGTCGGCGCCAGCTTCTAGAAGTCGCTGCACGACGGTTGCGTGGCCGTTCTTGGCTGCAACATAAAGCGGCGACCGCCAATCCTACCGATGTGAACGTAAGCAACCGCCAAGATCTGAGACGTCGTACCTCGTCGCAGCGGTGAACGTCGGCATCGGCGGCGAGAAGCAGGTCGACCATGGCCAGGTGGCCACGCTGCGCGGCTCGAAATAGCGGTGTCTCCCGATCCTGAGGCGATGTTGAGTTGGGGTGATACCGACGCTTAGCCGCACCGTGTCGACGCTGTTGACATTGGCGCCAGCTTGAAGCAGTAGCGATGCGATCTCGGACCTGTTATTTTGTGCGGCTGCGTGTAACGCGGTGCCCACCGTCTAGAGAGAAGCGTAAAACCCAAAGACGCACATTGTCGAGTTCTACCTCGCCCTGCGCGTTGACTTTGGCGCCAGCCTCGAGCAGGATCGTGACAATCTCAAGGGTGCTAGCGTCGGCAGCGAGATGCAACAGCGTAGAGCCCTAGACACGAATGCGTCTTCTCCATTTCACTGTGTGCTAAACACTGTACATCCGAGTCGGCAAGAACGTTGACACTGGCACCGGCGTCCAGCAAGAATCGCAGCAGCGTCGGGGACTTGAGGTAGATGGCCATAGCCACGGGCGGGACACCATTTTCCTACTCACACGTCGCATTGTGCAGCAGTGCAAGAACGAAGTTGATACCATTTCAAAGGCGTTGATGTCGGCCTTGGCGTCAAGGAGTCGTTGAATGATGGTGACGTTTTCCGTGCTGGTAGCGTATGCCAGCGCGCTCTTACCATCCTACATGGTCGCCGTTCAGAGCTGCCATTACATTTGATCCGATGTGAAGTACAAATGTCATGTCGACGTCAGCGCCAGCAGCAATAAGCTTCGCCACGGCTTCGTCGCGCTCCTTTCGAATGGCAAAATAAGCGGCGACACAAAGCCCTAGTCGTAGACGTTCGAGTCGGTTTAGTAAAAGGTCGCCCGTACTTGGCCACTGAAGTCGACTTTGGCGCCCGCTGCGAGAAGCGCGTCGATGATGTCCATATCGTTCTTCTCGACCGCTTTGAACAAGGCGGATTGACCCTACCCTCGTCCTGCTTGACGAGATCTCGAGGAAGCATTTCCGCACCTCGCTATTGACGCCGTTGACGTCGATGCCTTGGGCCAATTGCGCTTCGACGGACTCGAGATTGCCGCTCATCGCAGCAAGCGGCAACGGACTGCTCTCGGATTGACCCATGTCGTTAACACGGCAGAGCAAATTGCCAAATGAGGTGTGGAGGGTCCCATATTTTTTGTTTTGCACCCACCCCAGGATGAAGGTCGCTCTCTGCCGTACCATTTTTCAGTACCCACCCACTCACAATCGAACGGCATCGACACTTGCTTCGAAGCCGCCTCACACTGTTGGTCGCTCGGATTGCCTTGTTTTCTACTACGTAGTACTGAATAGCACGTCGCTACTCTAGTGCTCTAGAACTCTAATTACATCGAGTGCACTTCAGTCCACCCAAGGTGGAGGGCAGAGCGGTACAGCCGAAGTGGAATGGAGTATGCACGCTTATCCAGTGAACACCAACTGAGAGAGCGGTCGACGCTACGCGTCGTCCTCTGCATCTAGTGCATGTCACCGGTCGTTCTAGTCGTTTTCCATCGGCGGAAGCACCACGGTCAGTCGCGGCTGCTTGGTGCGCGCGACAATGACCTCGCACAGCAGTAGCACGATGTTTTGGTGGTCTTTCTCAATCGCCAGCGCGAGAGGTCCGTTCTCCAGCTAACTTCATCGCTGCTTGCAAACCGAAGGGGAAACGCACCTTGGATCCATCCCTTGGATCGATCGATATAGGCACCTGCGCTGAACAGCATCTGCACGATTCGCACATGCGACCGCCGCTCGCAGCTGCATGCAAGGCGAACGTTTCCCTCCTACATAGCGCGCATCATGCGCAAGGCACGTGGCAGAGAGATTGCTACCGAGGAGCACTTGTGATGTCGACGCCCGCTTATCGCTCGACCACGGTCGCGTGGCCGTTCGCAGCCGCCGACCGATTGTCCTGCATTTAGATGACCATCCAGCGACGCGACAATGATACGTACCCAGACGAAGTTGACGGTGGCGCCGGCTGCAACGAGCTTCTTGGCGGCGTCCACACCTTCAATTTGATAGCGAGCGGCGGTGCTATGCTCCATACATGAGGCAGGCAATGCTCAAACTGGGTGTTGGTGCCTACGGGGCCACCGGAATCCAAGTCGGCGCCAGCGGCGACGAGCGTGTCGATGACGTCCAAGTGGTTGCCCATGACAGCGCTAAACACGGCAGACCGACCCTACGCACATGCTACGGGCTGGTTTGAAGGGTGATGGTGCTGCGTACATGATTGACGCAGTTGACGTCGACGGCCTGGGCCATGACCTCGTCGGCATGGCCTTGCAAGCAGCAATAGGCAACATACTCTCTTCTTCCTGCACCGAAGCAAGTGCATGAGGAGGCTACAGTATTGTCAAGCAGAACGCCCCACGAGACCGAGAAGCTTCCAGATGCCCAAGGCTGCGCTTGTTGATAAAGAAAAATGAGTTGACGCGAAATGACCCATATCTTCCAAAGGTACCCATAAAATCATGTTTGCCTGCCACGTCCACAACACTCTCTCCAAACTTGCGTTGAGATGTTTGAGAACGAGGCACGACTCGTGGGCTGGCGTGTGGTAGACGTCACTACAGAACTACCGCGATGACATAATCCAACTAAGTTTAGAGTATTACTTTTACGGCAGATATCGCTTCAAGTTGCCGATGTGGCGAAGGCTTGTAGCGCGCCTATGATCGGACCATTGGTACCGTCCGTGCACGGCCGACGACACACGGCACACGTGTTGGTGTACTGCAGCCACTGGAGGGCGCAGTGCTGGTGGAAGCTGTGGCCGCACGAGAGTGTCACGACGGAGCACGCGCCGAGGTCCCCGAGGCATATCGCGCACTCGTCGCTCTCAACCATCGTGCTCGACGCAACCAACGCGGTGTCACTGGCCTTGAAGAAGCTGCGTAGCAGGACGCGGAGGTCGTTGAAGGCGGGGAGGTCCGCCGCTTTGAGGCGGCGCTGTACGAGAAACAGCAGCTCCACGAGGCGCGTGAGTGCCGCCTTGCGGGTATAAACGGTATAGTGGTCGTCGAAGCCCAGCGTGCGCGCGGGAAAGTCCATTTGGCCGCAGAACGCTGCGAGCTGGTAGGCGGCGTGGCCGCGAAGCTCGCGTCGGTGGGTCCTCGCCCAAGCCACGACAGCCTTGTACAGCGAGCGGCACTCCGAGTAGCGCGTCTGAACGATGGACCACGCGGCGTTGGTGTCGAGGACCACAAAGGTGTAGCGCATGACCCGCGATGCGTCGGGCGTCACGGTCGTGTAGATGGTGACGGCGGCGGCGTCGAGGATCGGTCCGACGGTCGCAAAGGTGCGCGCCGCCCAGCGCTCAAAGGCGGGGACCCACTTGAAGGTGGAGGATGGCTGCTGCATACAACGTGGACAATCGGAAAGTGAGGGCTCTCAAGCTCTCGTTATGGCAAGTTGATTGATCGCGTAACCCACTGGATTCGGCGGCGACCCCGTAAAACACATGGTGCGGATCGTGACAACCGGATTTGAGGTTGCCAAAACGACGCCAATTCCCACGGCCACCTCCCTGCGGTCACTCGAATGCTTCACGCTGTCACTAAAGCGTGTGCGATGGTATCGATCCCACAACTCACGTGAGCTCAGTGCATTCTAGTCTAGGTACTGACGCGTACCAATGTCGCTGGCGCACCCAAGTAGAGTTCAGTGTGCCGCCGTACCAGTAGCCACGGGTACAAGTCCAGTGTCCGACAATTATTTGGCGGCCCGGTACCGGTAGATTCTGACATTGAAAACCAGCAAAACATCAGTCGCCACCACGTCGCCACCGAGCTCCAGCGCCGGAACCCGCATGCGAAGCCTCCACGAACCCACCCACACTCACGTGATTGACATTTTACGCCCTCGCAAAGTGGCTTACCGCAGCCATAAGCGCGGGTGTTCCTTCTGTTTCTCTTTCAGGACTGATTGGATCGTGTCGTCGCGCTGCCAGCGTGATCGTAGCTTGGCCTTGTCGAGCTGCAGCGCTAGCGGCGGCGCTGGCTTGGGCCGCGTCGGCCGCGCCCGTGGCTTTGGGCGCTTGGGTTTCTCGTCTGTCGTCACCGTGCACGCGGTGAGGAACGTCCACTTGCTCGTCGTCTCAATCTGGTTGTCGTCGTCGTCGTCGCACGGCGTTCGGTGGTCGAGCTCGTGTAAGACCGTGCGCGTCATGTCTCGGAGCTCGCGGGGCGTCATGGGCGGCGGCAGTCGCGGCGTTGCTTTCTTGACAAAGATGCTTCGCCGAGGACACGCCGACTGCGGTCTCGGCACTGGCGGCTGGAGCGCCGAGCGCTTCGTCGGCGATTTCGCACCCGCTCGTTTTGGCGGCGCCGTCGCCGGTCGGCCCTTTTTCTTCTTCGTACATTTCATCTTTTTCAAAAAGACGGGTTTCATGGCGCGTAGTTCGTTGTGATGAGGCTCGGAAAGGGTCGGTGGCGGCGCAACGCGAGCCGAGTGCGGCCGTGCCATTCGATCCTGGAACGATGCGACACTTTGCCGTGTCCGCGCCGGCTCGACCTGCCGCGGCGTTGGCTGGTACACACGTGCACTCTGCGGTCGTGACGGGATCTGGTGCGACACGATGTGCTGCAGCGTCTCGAGGACACTTTTCTTGGTCGACGCTTCGTCTTCGAGGTGCTGTGTCAGGACGGTCTTGCGCCCCGGCACCTTGCGCTTCGTCAGAACCGTCGTGTGGCTCCAGCCGCACTGCACCTGGACCGCTGCGAGGCCCGAGAAGGCGGTCAGTAGCACGGGTGCTGGCTGCACGTCGAGCGCGTCCGGAAGGCCAAGACCGCCGTTGACGTCGTACCCCCAGGTATAGACATCCCCCGATGTGGTGACGGCGGCCGAGTGGAATTGGCCCAAGCTTACCTATGGCATGCATATAGAGCTGCGAGAAGAGAGTATGTAGGTATTACATCGAGAACGCGGGTGCTCAACGGAAAGGTCACTTGCGTCGGCGCACTTCGGGCGCGGGTGTCACCAAGGCCGAGCTGGCCAAAGTCGTTGGCGCCCCACGTGTACAGCTCGTCCGTGGCGGTAACGATACAGGTGTGGCGTCCACCGCACCGCACAATCTGTCCCGCCAATTCCATCAATGTATCAGTCTATCAAGGCGCACCTTGGGCACGACATCCAGTGTCTTGAGAGCGTGAACGATAACGGGCGAGTCCCGCGTCGTGCTCGAGTTGATGCCGAGGCGACCGTCGACGCCGCAGCCCACGTGTAGAGGTCGCCTGTCCATGCACTCTGTTCTTAGTGTCTAGAACTAAACGCTAACGGTACCTTGGGTGGTGATGCACGCGCTGTGGTGCAGCCCCGCGGCCACTTGGTGCACCGAGTGCATCGTCAGCGTCGAGATGACGCTTGGCGCGCAACTGCGCCAGCCCGACTCTGTGCGGCAGTTGCGGTGCCCGAGCCCCAGCTGCCCGGCCTTGTTGTGTCCGAATGCCAGTACTTGCTGGAGGTCAGTGATAACAAGGGTGTGCTGGCCACCGCACGCGACCGACTTGACAACCACTTTGCTCGCGTCGTCGCCGGTCTTGGTGACGAGGCCCGTGAACTCGACCTGTCGTGGCGTCAGAACGTCTGTGTAGGCCTGGTGCCCGAGCTGTCCGAACCGGCCACTGCCCCACGTGAAGAGCAAGCCGGCGCGCGTAATGACCGCCACATGGTGCTGTCCGCAGCTCAGCGATGCGATCGCGGGCTTTTCGTGGGCCGAGGCAAAGATGGAGGCCAGTAGGAGCTGCGGCGCGGTCGTCGAGCCACAAGTCGTGTGGTCGCCCAGCGTCGCCTGTCCGTACGTGTAGGCGAGGCACGACTGCGACGAGACAACGATGGAGAAGTTGTCACCCGCGCCAAGACTACTGAA